AGTTGACCAATCGCAAATCCGGGGAGCGCCTCATACCCCCCCGTGCATTGGTCCTTCGAGCCGGATTACGCGTTAGAAAATTACCGCCGACCTTTCGCTCACGTCGCATCATTCATTAACTTGTTAATTTTCGCACATTCTTGTAATCGCGCATCGCGATAACACGTGGCGCGTGGTAGTCTCTCGCGATATCCTTCGTTCGCAACTCCTTGTGACGAGAATACTCGCGTGAACTTCTCTGGTCGCACCCATGCCATTGCTGTTATCTGCCTTTGTCGTGAATACGCTTAATTGTTTGTTCTTATAGTCGCGAGATGCAGTAACGCGCGGCGTGTTAATAATCTTTAGTCTCGCGCGATATCTCTCGTCCGCAATTCTTAATTCGCAGCGAGAATACTCGCGTGAACTTCTCGCTCGTCGTAACACGTTCCGTCGCTGTTATTCGCATTAACGCGAATTGCAATAACGCGTGGCGTGTTAATAATCTAATTAATTCGCGACGAGAATATTAGCGTGAATCCACGATCTCGCGCGATATCTCTCGCTCGCAATTCTCTCGCTCGTTGTAACACGCTCCATCGCCGTTATTTGTACTAATCGTAAATTGCGCAATTGACGCGGTAATTAGTTAAAGCCCGTCATTGTTAACATAGAAACCGAAATATTCAGATCTCGAATATTCTCGGGCTGGCCATACGTTTTCGCCGCGCCGTCGACGGCCTTGACGCTCGGTCACGGGCCGGCAGCGTATGTACACAGTTTTTCTACATAAGCTCACGTTCCATAATAACGCGCTACCTTATTTTCGTTGTTGCTGGATGTGTTTCGGCCAGACTCGAAATACATATTGAAAACACATACTGAATATTATTCCGATCGTTGGAATTCTCGCAAACATAATTGCCACAGATCGAATATACTGTTCGTCGGCACTGGTTCCCGGTATAGAATATATTGCAGCACTCAAGGTAATCTCATTAAAGATTATAATTACAATTATAATCACAATTGCAAAGAGTTGACGTAATTGATGCTCATGTCGTGGATTATTGCGCGTGTCATGTGTATACTGCTCATGTCGTATGCGCTGCTCGTGTCGTAGCTCCGCGCGCAACATGTATTGCTGAAAACTTAATTTGAACAAATACTTGAGTGCATTCCTCGCTGTAACCGGGCACCTGTGCCAACCTAATTGATAATTTTGATCGTTAATATAACTATATTATTTTGTATCCTTTGCAACCATCTTCCTCGTTAATTATCCTACTTGATCCCCCTCTACCGCCAGTGCTCGCACCCTATTATTTTGCATCAACCTACCGCCGTTTTGAAATTGTGCGAATCGTTATTATAGCCTCTCGAAAATATCCGTCGTGCCTTCGAACAGAAATTCGAGCCGAGCCGACTCGGCATCATAACAAGGAGATAGTTGTTTCGTTTTGCTTCTGGCATTGTTGATATTCTCACATCGAAGTGAGCTGCTATCGTCACCTTGGTTGACCTAGTGACTGTATTCCGGGCATCATGAGTCGAGGGAATGTAACCAAACGCGAGTTATGCGTGAAACGTATGCGGGAGATTCATGAGCTGTCGATGCTCGCCGCGGACAATGTAAATCAGAGACCGAACTTTCGCGTGCGATATCCCATCGTGACCAAATTGGTCGAGGACTTTGAGGCAGCCCACCTCAAGATAATACAAGACGCCTCAGATGAAGAGTTCGAAACGGAGGATTCGATTCGCCGGGACTTTGACGAGATGCGCTTCGCGGTAATCGGGCGTTACGAGAGATTTGTGGGCGCCGACCGAGTAGCCGCTCCGGCCCCGCAGGCCCCGGCCCAGACGTCATCGGTCAAATTGCCCAAGATCTCCCTTCCGCAATTTTCGGGAGATCTCACGCTTTGGCCCTCGTTCATCGCGTTATACAACATCTCTATTCACGAGAACCGGAACGTCCCTACCATAGAGAAGTATCAATATCTGATATCCTGCTTGAAAGGAGAAGCGCTGAACGTCGTCAAGAACATCCCTCTCTCCGCCGATAATTACGCGATAGCTTATGACGCCTTGATTTCGCGATATCAAAACAAACGATACTTGGCTGATTATCACGTGGACTTGATGCTGAAAGCTCAGCCGTTGAAGTCGGAGTCGGCCGTCCCCCTGCGCACGCTGTTGAGCACCTTCACCGAAAACACGCGAGCATTGAATCTATTAGGATTTCCTACAGACGCTTGGGATTATCTCCTTCTTAAATTCTTGCTGGAGAAGCTCCCTCGCTCGCTCCGCGAGAAGTTCGAATCTGAACACCGGGCGGAGGAAATACCGAAATTCACGCAGCTCACAAAGTTCCTCTCTGATCACTGCCGGGTTCTCGCGTCGGTATCGGGCTCACAAAATACGTCGCAAAAGTCTCAGTCGACTTCGTCAAAGAATTCCGCGTCGGCCTCGTCGCTCGCAACTCGAACCGCCGAGTGTCCGGTATGTAAAGAACAACACCCTGTTGCAAAATGTTCTCGGTTCTTAAAGTTAGCACCCCGAGAGAGGCATTCGACGGCTAAAGCTTCGAACTTGTGCTATAACTGCCTCCGCGCGGGCCACAGCGTTAATGACTGTCCATCGTCGTGGACGTGTCGGTCGTGTAAGGCCAAACATCACACGCTCCTGCATTTTGAGCAGAACTCGGGCTCGGCGAATGCACCCACAGACGCCGAACCACCCTCCGAATCGGGGACAACGTCATCGCAGGGAAGCGAACCCCTCGTTAGCATGGCTAGTGTCGCGCGGTCGAA